AAGACACCAAGGGATGTTGAATAAAAGAATTGTGAAGGGACTGCTTTTACCTTGTCTTTGCAGCAAGGCGAACACTACAGCCCATAAAAGAAGATTTCACCATGACATTGCCCTTTTTAGAGTATTGATGTTAAGAGCTCCTTAAGTGCATTTATTCAGCAGGCATTTACCAACCACCTAATATATGCTACTTGTCAACAAAAATGTGTAATTTAGAAGGTACTAATAGAGACCTTTGCATTCTCAGTAATGAAGGAAACATCTGTATAATGGCACCATCTACTAAGAAAACAACAAAAAAACTGTGTTTTCATCTCTGCAGTCTCAGGAAAGGGAAAGCAGCATTGAGGAGGGAAGGGCTGAGCAGAGATGGTGTCGGGTCACCCAGGTGGGGTGGCATGGGGAGAAACGTCTGGAGGGTGGAGGAGGAAGCAGGGGGATGCAGGAGGCATATTCTAAGGCTTTGACATTCCCATTGTATAGCAGAGACCAGTGCTCACATGCTTGTAGAAGAGGCTGGACCTCCAAAAGGAATGGCTGTGTGGAGCAGCCAGGAAAGCTGGACCCTGGGGACCATGGCCCTGTACCCTGGCTTGGCACAGACACAATGGCGCGTTCTGTCTAGCACACACTTGAGGACTTAGAGCCATGAGCCCCTGGCAGTTCTCTGAGGAGTGAAAGCTAGGGGTCCTTCCTTTGTTCTTCCAGGCACCATGTAAGCCCCTTGGATCCTTGTAGCATCCTAAAGAGAGAGAGACCCTGAAAAATATGCCTGAAAGATATTTCTCATCACCTTTTTGAGTGGGGAAGTATGAATTCATTTTATTTAGGAAAATGAGATAATCTGGCTTTTCTTGTACCCTAGTGTAACAGCGTTGAATCCACACACTGTACACCTTCAAGCAGGGCTATTGTGAGCTCAGTTGTGGGTCCGGGTGTCACTTCTTACTGAGTTTTCATGTTCTATACCTTTCCTGCGTCCCTCTCTACCCCAAAAGTCACTCATTCTGTATTTCATTTTCTCAAGTCTAATGAAAAGCTAATGATAACATAAAGCTAAACAGTCTATAATTATATTCAACTAAGTATTCAACTGAGTACAAAATCTTAAGGATGAAGGAGTTTTCAAACTTGTTTTTGACAGCAAAAGCCCTTTTTCAAAGAGTAATTTCCATGTACTCAAATGTATAAAGCAGCCAACAGTAGAGCTCTTTGGTTGAAATGGAGTAGGAAACTGAATACACCCCTTTAATCTATGATGTGGCTCCGAAGTCCCTTTCCTCAGTAACCTTGAGTTCTTCTGATACCTACCATTTTAACTCCAAGTATAGGTAATGTGGGTGTCAGGGATGGAATGTTAGACGCATCACTGCAGGCCAGTGGGGAAGATTATTTTCTATAGAAGGGCCATTCATTGTCCTACTGACAGCAAATGCCACTCAGAAGCCAGATGTGTCTTCAGGCTTGAGTGAGCATCCCACTGTAACACAGAGGGATTTTTATCCTGCATCAGTAGTTTATTCTCCTAGCAATGAAAATAATAAAGTTGTAAGATATTCATTGCCATTGAGAGCCAAGAAGTAGAAATGATCATTCAGTCATGCTCCATAGACACCCCATCTTCTCAGTCTTCATTTATTCATCCAACAGATATCTAATTTGCACCTATAATGTGTCAGTTCTATTCCAGACTCAGGGCACAGCAGTAAGAAAAACTGATAAAATGCCTTTCTTTAAGGAAATTACATTCTAGAAGGGAGAGAGAGACAATCAGTGAACAGAAATCTGTGAATTTAAATTCTGTAAGCTATAATAAAACAGGTGTTTTTAAGAAGACTGCAATTCTGGTGGTTTTGGGCATTAGTACTATTGGGAGTGATTAGTATAGTGCCTGCCCTACATTTAATAGATGTCTAGAACTACATGGAATGTCATCTCATCTGGATTCCATCCTCTGAAAGACAGACATTTGTTTTTCGTTTAGAGAGAAAAATAAAGACAATGTTGAAGTTTTACTCAAACCTAGTACCCTTAAACTGGCTGAGTATCAGCAAACTTACACTACTGCACATGTGCCTGGAATAGGGAAGTGGGTGTGGCATGGAGGATTGAGCATGGATCCTAGACCTTGGGATTTGGGGTGTTTTTCATCTTTTCCTAATTATGTGGCTTTGGCTCATTTCAATGTTAATTTCCTTCATTTGTAAACTACCAAATAAAATATGTTTGTAGTACTTTATTAATTGAACAGTTTTATACAAGTAAAGTGGAAATTCTGAATACAGGTTAAGAAGAAATCAAACAGAAAGATTATACAAAAGTTATTACAGTTTTATAAAAGTAATGTTAAATATGGTAACTATGAACTTTCAAAGAAAGAAGAAGAATAAAGTAACAATTTATGATATCCTAAAACCAAGGACAGCCCGTAACTGTGAACTTTCAAAGAAAGAATAAGAATAAAGTAACAATTTATGACATCCTAAAACCGAGGACAGCCACACCTCCAGATGAGAAACCACACAAAAGAAGTCTGGTTCTGCGAAATCAGCAAGACAGGGGATATCAATAATCAAAGCAATGCAAGCTGTGCTGTGTTTTAAATTTGATCCAGATTTGAGATGATCATATGCAAGAAATGGCTTTACTGGAATCAAATATATAGAGTCTTAAAGATAAAATCTAGAGGTTAGGAGCTATTGAATGTTGAGCTTTCAGCTCCATTTCCTGAGGAATCATTGGAGCCATAGGTGGGGAATGCAATAATTCTTGTAAAGCATTGCAGCTGCTAAAATGCAGACATATGGAATTTTTGCTCTCTCTGGTATAATACAGAAACAATCTCACAATAGGATAAACACCTCTTTCAAACTTTCTCTTTAGCCTAGGGAGAGGATATTGTACAGACTGGATGGGTAAAGTCTTAGTATTTTGGTTTTTCGTTTTAGATCTGGTTTCCTGTGTATCCTTTAGAAGCCTGTATTTGTAGCTATAGGAGTGCACTCCTGTGCTGAATCTTCTGACACCATACTAAACATGTTGGATATTTTGACATTTGAAATCGATAGATGTAATTTGTACTGATACTGAAATTATGGAATATAATGGAAAATTGGGCTTTTGTTGTTGATATTGTGAAGATGTTACATGACGTAACATCATAAGAGGCCAAATCAACTAATACTTAATGTTCAGTGAGTTGAAATGTTGATTTCCTTAATGACACTGGGAAATAATTCATTAATTTTTTTTCTGCTTTATGGCAATATATTGTTCTATTCGAGATTTAGACATTTTTTCCGTTGAATCAGGAACATCCTGAGTGCTAGCCACTGGCTGGGTCCCAGGAACATGGGTGGGAAATACATATTTGAGAATCTTCTGAGCGCCAACCAATCTGCTGGGTCCCAGGAACATGATAGGAAGTATAACAGGCATGGACTTCATTGCCTGGAGATTTTCATCTTGTACTTTTCTCTATTTCTATTGCTGAATTAAAATGTTCTATATTTCTGGATTCCCTTTAACTAGTCAACAAGGTTCACCTTATCAAGGAATACATAGTGCAGGGAATGGTGGCAGTGACCGGGCAACTGACCACACAGCCAATACACACACACACACCCCACAAACATACACAAGCTTTGGTGGAAGGTGAGAGAGAAAGAAGGAGATTTTTGAAAGTTCTACTTAACTTCTTTTATCTGAAACAGAAGCTCATAAAAAAGTTATTTTTTTCCCAGCTAAATAGATAAAACATCATCATTGTAAGAACATTTGTAAAATATAGACTACAATACAGTAAAAAAAAAATAAATAAAAAGTGACTTTAATCCTAATACTAAAGTTAATATACCTTTCCTCATGCCAAATTGTATTTTGTCTTCTAGGACCAATTGGTGTTTTCTCATCTAAAGTAGCTTGAATTTTGTCCTAGGACATTAAGCATTTTCTACCATATATTTTTTCAATGGCTGTAATATTGTTCCTTATTATGGTGGCATCAGAATTTATTTAATGAATCCCTTAATATTGCATAGTGGTTATTTCATAGTTTCCTCATTTTAAACAATGATGGTAGGAATATCATTAAGCGTAAAATACGTATTCATAATGATTTCCTTTTTATGAAGGCCGAGAAATGACTGCTGAGTCAAAGATTATGCACATTTAAGAGGCATTTGATGCACATTATTAAACTTTTTTATATTAAATCCACTTTGTTGAGCTGATTTATCCTTTTATTAATGGTCTTCCTTAAAAATTTTCTTTTTGTCTTAAATTTATTGTCTCCTGTAATTTTTGAAGCAGTTGAATATTGATTGCATTTTAGAAGAAAAAGAACAGCAAAATATTAAAACAAAAACATAAAAAGGTAACTGTGTTAAGCAAAAAGAAATAAAAATATTGTTAGAGAATGCTGTTTCCCATTCCTTATGCCAAAATAGACTCTGACATTTTAACTGGCATTTTCATTAAGGCAAGTAAATATGTTTCAAATACAGGGCACCAGGTCTCTATGCTTATGTTCAAGCACACGTCCATTTACTGACTCTGTTTTACTGGAACTTTCTCTGTGGTACATAGAGTAGCTTTTTAGAAAGGTAGACTTTTTAAATGTTAGTTCAATTCGTAGCACTTTACTTTGACATAATTTTTAATTATTTAGAAAAATACTTCCATTCTCCCCACATAAATTGTGCAATTGATGAAGTGACCCTCTTGCTCTCTGAACATGGGTTCCTCACTCTGCAAGCCCACGGGTGAATTAGCCCCTGTTTTCCTCAGACAAGCAAGCACTCTTTGTGTTATTTCCGGGTAATTTATCAATTAATGTTCTAGGATGCCAAAGGAAAAATGGTGACAATAAAACTGAGGGAATTCGGAAACAAATCTGTTGAATAGCAAAAGAACGTTTTCTGTTTATTTATCTCTTGTAATCTTAAAAGAAAAAAAAACTAATCTTATTCTGACATTATTCCTGCCCTTTTTTTTTTTAGTGCTCTGTGGAGGGGGTGAGAGCTTTCTGTGTGCCACTGGAATCTGCATCCCCAGGAAACTGCAGTGTAATGGCTACAACGACTGTGACGACTGGAGTGACGAGGCTCATTGCAGTATGTGACAAGCTGTTCGGGGTTTGTCTGAGTGGACAGGAATTCTATTCAGGGGCCTAGAAACCAAAACTATTACATTGTCAAATCCCGACAATCACTGGCGTTTGCGTAGACTGCTTTGGGTTTGCCTTTCTAAAGTGAGCAACGTGTTTATCTTCCTCCAGAGTGACAGAAGCATGTTTGCACACCTTTCAAAGGCATGGTTTATAAGGAACTCAACAGCTTAATGCTGCATTGGAACAGAACAGGGATTGCAGTGTTTTTGCACAAAGCCGCTTAAAATTGGAAGGCTTTGGTTTATTTTGATTGGGTGAGAATTTTCCTTTTTGTTTATGAGTGTAAAAGTCAATGCTTTTTGAAATGGACATTTTTATAGCAACATTTTCACTCTAATGATTCTTAACATTCATGACACAGTGAATACAAAGCCTCTTTTTTTTTTTTTTTTTTTTGCTTCCTCCAAACCTGGAGATAATCAATGGCACAATTGTTTAAAATCCACTAATCAGAAGATTCAGCCTTATGTGCCCTCAATTTCTTCCCCATTGATTTGATTAGTCATTTTGACTGAATTGGCCAGTGGTTTGTTCATATGGATTCAGGTTTCAAGTTGTTTTGCACTTACAAACTGGAAAGAATGGGAAAGCCATCCTGAGGAAGTACATTATAATAAAGCCAGCGTATTATTTGTTGACCCCTAGTATGTTAAAAAAAATAATAATTACATTGTGTAATCTTACAGAACTATATGCAATTAGAACACTACATGCAAGTGTTTTAATGATTTTTTATGGGTATATAAACAGCCACAGCTAGTATGGCAAGAGCTGTACTTCACCCCTTATGGGAACTGCCAAGATGTTACAAGTGCTTGAGAATACTGATCAGAATCGAAAGATTATTCTGGTCTGTTTGCCAAATGGACCAACTCATCTTTCATCTGATGAATTAGGATGTTCCTTTGTCCTGCTGAATGGCAGAACTACTGAATGGCAGTTTATCATGGTAACATTTCAGGTCAGTGTTTCCCAAACTGGTGTTTCATACAGTACCTGAGTCTGGAATAATGCTTGAAAAAAACTAACTTTGGGAAATACTCTCTATTAGATCTACTTCTTAGAGGGTTAGAATACACATTTGTATATTAGAGGTTCTGAGAAGTCCTGGAGTTTTAAAAAAGGACATTTGCTTAACTTTGGATTTCCTCAGAATTATTTTCTCATGTGAATCTTCACCTTCATTTATTCATGCATTTTTTATTCTGCCTAATATCTAGCATCCCGTGGAACTTTAGTTATGCCACACATATTTCAGGAAACATTCTTTTTAGTAAGACATTTGTGTTTTACAACTTGGAATTTTCTTTTCAAAACAACCTATGGCCCACAATTTTACATAAAAACACATTTTATAGGCTGTGTATTTATACTGGGAAGTGTTATTGTGAGCTTGGCAGAAGATACTGTGCAAAGCAGCCAAAATAGGGAACTTTAAATAATTCAACGTAATTATATCCAATTTATGGGAATTGTGGTAGAATCTCTAGGTTTTCTCTCATTGTGGCCCACATTATAGCATTGTCCAAATTCTGCATGTGCCTGTAACTTCTTTGGTGTCCAAACATGGTTTTATTATATGTTCCTCAATTGTACTGCGCATTGAACTCTGAACCCTGTAAGTGCTTTCTGCTGCATTTGTTAAAATTAAATTTGAAGGGGTTAGTTTTCCTAGTCAACAACTGAACAAGAAGCTGTTACTGTTCTGCAAGGTCTGAGGAGCTGAAACATTTATTAAGGAAAATAGATAAGGACTTTTCCCATGAATATACCACAAAAATGATCTGGTTGGTCCATGGAAGAAATATATCCCTTCAGAAAACTTCTGTATGAAAACACAGACATTGAAGGCTTCATATGCAATTGTTTTTGACCTGACAAGGACATCTGCTTTTGAGCTTTAATGTTCAGTGCTTGTGGCATTTCAGCATGAGTGTTTATGGAGGGTGCCACACTCTTGATGTCACCACCCTGTGGTGAAGGAATAGTATAAGTCTGAATTAGGGCTTGGGTGTGAATCAGAGTGTAAATGCAGTCCACAGATACCCAGGAGAAGGAAGTTTTGCTGTGCATTCTCAGTGAGGAGCAGAAGAAAATACCTAGTTCTTAAGGTTCTGGCAGGAAGGCAAGGAGAACTGCCAGAGGAGATTGTGCTTCTGTGGATTGGATGCAAAAATGATTTCTAGCTAAGCACTTGCCTGCTTTTATAAAACATGGGTCATATTAGGTGACCTGGGTAGTTTGTTGAGTTGTTAATTTCCTTTTCAGTCAGATTCAAAGGAAGGGAGAGAAACGACTTATAATTTGTGAGTTACCTAATCAATTATGCTAGAAGCATTTGCCTACATGCTTTGATTTAATTACCAACACAGGAAGTATTATCTACCTGCTTTTATACAGGTGCAGAGACGGGGCTTATGGTAATGAATAAATTTGCCCATGATTTACTAAATTTGAACCCAGTCTTAAGTGGTACCAAATCTAATGCTGTTTTCTGTCAGCTGGGCTGCCTTTGACTTGTCCTTGTCCTTGTCCATAAAGTATTTCAGATTTAGTGAGATTATACTCTGATGGTTCATATTGCAGGAAAATATTTTGACTGTTTTTGCTGTATTATGGCTTTCAGAGCACTCCAGGTATCTGTGATTACTTACTGACTTTCTCCCCTAACCAGTTTTGTCTTATTTGTCAATTTCTTCTTATTTGTTGGATGAAAAGATTTCCAAATACCTGAAACAGTTTTATGGTGTAGTAGAAAAATTTTCAAAAATCAGGAAAACTTTAGAAATGTCTACCTCTGTGACTTTAGGCAGACCACTTCAGTAACCCTGGCCTCCCCAGGAAGCCCCACCTGTGGAGATTTTGATTCAGTTGGTGTGCGGTGGGGACCAGGCAGCAGTAGTTTTGTAAAGCTCCCCAGGTAATTCTAAGGGACAGCCAGACTTGGAAGCACCAGGCTAGAAGGCGACTGGTGTCTCTTTTGTTGTTGAGGGTCTATAATCTTTTGAGCCTATAACCAGCTCCTAGAACAGTACCTGGGACATAGTCAGTGCTTAGCAAATGAATATATCTTAATTTGAAAAATAAATTAGCAACTCAAGGAAAACGTTGTCATAGTGAAATAGCTGCCACAAAGTTCACACATTTTATGACACGTAAAACCACCATCAAATACTTTTGGAAATCATTTGCTCTGAATTTTGGGTAAAATTGGTTGACTTATTTTTGAGGCTGGTGATTATCTAATTATATGCCGAGTGTAGCACAGTGTAGTCATGACCACTAAAAGTTCTTGAGTCGGGCTCCCTAGGTTTTGTTCTTACCATTTCGTGCCTCTGATAACTTAGGCAAGTTACTCAACCTCTCTGTGCCTCAGTTTCTTCAGTAGTACAATGAAAACAACAAATAGTGAATATCTCTGAAATTGTTCACAATAATGACTCACTGAATGTAAAGCATGTAGACCGATGTCTGGCATGCAATAAGTCTCAAAGAGCGCTAGGATTTGTGTTCGTGACTGTTGTTGTCACTGTTGTCATCTTGCTGTTCCTTCTCTACCCAGCACCTCGTTACTAGGTGCAGAGAATGATCACTGGAAGTCATGGGGACAGCTGATAAATGTTAGCTGATACATGTAAGGGAGACAGAAACACTGAAATATGCATAACAGTTTTAAAAGCAGCACCATGTGAAGCTATTTGAGAATGGAGGCAGCCTAAACAGCACAATTGATTTTCCAAATGATGTTTGAGTCATCAGAAATGACTGTATCCACAATAATCTTTCTACTAAGATGTGGCTGCAAGTAAATGCTAGAAACATTTTCATCAAAATTATAAAAATAAAAAAAAAACTCACTCTATGCTAATGGAAGTAGTATTATATGTTTGCAAATTTTCCTTTTTGTACAGTGGCAATCTGATTATACTGAATCAATCTACTGAATATTCTTGAATTCCTACCTTGTGTGAATCATGTTCTAGATAATTAGTAAATAGAAAGATACTGTTAAGACATGGTTTCTTTCTTTACGAGGCTTCAAGTCTAATTGGGGAACTAACATATAAACATGGAAACCATTAAATATGTTTTTTTATTTTGAGATGGAATCTGGCTCTGTCGCCCAGGCTGGAGTGCAGTGGTGCGATCTCAGCTCACTGCAGCCTCCACTACCTGAGCTGAAGCCATTCTCCAGCCTCAGCCTACTGAGTAACTGGGGCTACAGGTGTGAGCCACCATGGCAGGCCTAATTTTTGTATTTTATATAAAAAAAACAGGGTTTTGCCATGTTGACCAGGCTGATCTCGAACTCCTGAGCTCAAAGTGATCTGCCTGTCTTGGCCTCACAAAGTGCTGGGATTATAGGTGTGGGCCACTGTGCCCGGCCTAAATATAGTATTTTAAAACAATATAACACAAGCAATATCACAAAGTAAAAAAAAAAATGTATGTAAACAATAAAAAAAAGGTAGCAGCAACGAGTCCTTTTAGTAAAAAGGGTAGGATTACTAGAAGCTGGATTGTGTAGAGAGCTGATGGAAAGGATGGGATTAAAGCTAGGCCTTGCACTCAGGTGATGTTTGTATACTGTGCGACATGGTTTTCAATTCTCTAGGTGACATTTTGCAATGCATGGAGACTTTTTTTATTGTCACAACTGTGGGGTAGAGGAAGGTACTACTAGCATCTAGTGGGTAGAGGCTAGAGATGCTGCCAAACAAACTACACTGCCCAGGGCAGCCCCCAACAACAAAGAATTATCCTGTCCGAAAGGTCAGTAATACTGCAGTTGAGAAACCCTTTTCTAGAGCTAGAAGTCAATAGGAGAAAGAACTCAGAGAGTCAAAATCCTGGTTCTCATGGTTCTGCTGTTAATTAGCTGAGCAACCATGGACAGACCATACAACTCCTCTGGTCATCTCAGAATGAGAGGGTTGGATGAAA